TTAATTGGTATATCTATATTATTTGATGGTATAGCCATAAAGTATTCTAAAAGCATACACAACTGCCCCAACCCTATGTAATTAGTGCATTAATGTTTATCCCCATGAATAATACATAGTACTACACATGCTTAACTATACATAGCACATACAATCAAAACGTGCATAATACACCAGAGAACGTGCTTACAAGCAAGAACTGTTATCTCACATTGGACTATAACGCATCTAATCCAGAAATCCACTTACAAGCGTCCAAAGCATGAATATCGTACAGTCCGCAGAATCCTTAATAGTACATTTGCACATTAGGTCATTGGTCGGACATAGCGCATCCTATTTCTTCAGTCCTTCTAACCATGGATATCCCCTCGTATTCTTGGTCTCTTAATCTACCATCCTCCGTGAAACCACCAACCCGCCCACTTCTGCGGCTCTTCTCGCTCCGGGCCCATATAGACAGGGCTTGGTTATACTGAAACTATACCTGGCATTTGGTTCCTACCTCAGGGCCATCTCACCAAGATCGTGTCCACGTTCCTCTTAAATAAGACATCACGATGGTGTGGCGCTATCACCCTCTTAACCGCGTCACTGGATGCATAGGGTGCCTGGGTGGGGAAAGGGGGGGGGGGGGAGTCCTCAGCATTCCCGTAGGTTCCGGTAGGAGTCCCGCCCCCCGTCCTGTGGGACCTGTCTGTGTGTTGCCATGCCTTATGCTATCATCGCACCTAAATTGAATGTCTTGGCCCCCAACCCGCCCACTAGGTGTTATTCAGTCAATGGTCTCAGGACATAATTAGTAATTACCAACACTATACCCAAAATTTAACTCTCCAACCCTCCAACCCAACTTACATTTTCTGAGGCAAGTGTCATAAAGAGACATTTTACCATTAACAGTTAAATATTTATAAAACCAGTAAACCAAATAATATGGTTTGAATGACACGTGATATACTTGACCCTATCACTGCCATGCCCTATCTACCCTGCCCTCAGTCACCAACCACCAGCGCCACGTTCTACCTACCCTGCCCCCGGATTTGCAACTCAATAAAAGTGAGAGCATCCTGGCATTTGGGGCCACTGCTGGTCTCCGCGATTTGGGTAGCAGTGGACCCCTGGGTCCAAACTCTCTTTTCTCTATCTGTGTCTTGTGTCTTTAATTTCTACAATTTCTCCTCTCCGCACCAGCCAGGAGGGGCTCACAGAACCCTGCAGGGCTGGACCCTACACTTCCCCATGTCCCTGCACTTGCCAAATCAACTACTTGCTCTTGAATCCTTGCTTCAGAGTTTGCTTCTGGGGGAGTCTAAATTGGGAGACTTAGCTTCCTTAGTATTACCTTCTTTCATACCCCTTCCGGTGCACCCCACTCTCAGCCAACGCTGTAACCGTGTCCCCACAAGCCTCAGCCCCTCACCTGCCTCCCTCGTTCTCCTGCCAGGACACTTTTTTTTTTTTTTTT